TTATAATAAATACTGTTTTTAGAAGTCTTTTTATTTTCTGAGTTATCTTAATGACATGCGTTCCCATTCCTACTCAATTTACACATTCATGTTTCTTTTTCTTTTTATTGTGTCCCCAAATAGACAGAAGAGATCATCTCTGACTGCATCTCTTTCTCAGTGGTCTGATGATATTTCATCTACAGGGTGCCTCTTTAAGGCGGAGATGGAAATTTCTTTCCGTGTTTCCTTGCTCTGACATTTTGAAGGATGGAATGCACAAAAATTTCCAGCATGCAATTGCTCCTAGAGCCCTCCTTTCTCTGCTTTACCCCCACCGCTTACATCATATCAAGGACAAAGTCTCCTGTGATGCTAACCCTATTCTTAACTTCTCTGTATTTACTTGACAAAATATAAGGGTTCTGGTGTAATTTAACAGTTTCTTGCTTCAGAGCTTCATAATTTGAGTTTACATCCTGGTTCTATTTCTACAACCTTTGTGATATTTGGCAAATTTTTTCATGTCTTGGAACTTAAAAATATATATATATAATATCTTATATATATATATATATACACAATATCTTATATATATATATATATATATATATATACACACATACACAAGACAGTTAAAATAGTTATCCAGCTAGTTCATTGAAAAGAAAGATTTTGCTAATATTGTTTGGACAATATTTCATGCCTACATTTTGTACTCTGAATAACTACTATAAAGATAACAATATGCAATGTATTAATTATTGTTACTCTCCTACCAGCCCGTTTTGAAACTGTTTTATTGTTATTTTTATTTTTTCTCTTTAAGAAAAGATAACACTAGCACTATTATTCCCAAGTGTTGAAGGATTAAAATGAGAGAAGGCCCATAAAGCACTGTGTATAATAAATTTTAAACAATAGTTGTTGTTGGCATTATTAATATTACTATTACTGCCTTTGATTTGAGGTATACAGAAAGATATTGATTGGAGTGGAGGGCATGAAACAGCTTATTGATAATTTAAAGGGAAAGAACCACCATACTAGAAAGTGAGCTGTCCAATTTTGTGACTGATGCAAATACCGAGTTCCTGAAAATGGGGCATACTCTCAATAGGCAGAGAATGATGAATCACAAGATAAGTTTTCCAATTTGCTTCTTAGTTAATAGAGTTTTCTGCAAGATTCTGGTAAGGATTTGAATGCAAAACCAGTTTTCTTGCTCTGAAGTTTCATCTTCTGGGTCTTTGTACGTATTCTTATGGACGGCTGATGGTGGTGCATCTGGACCTGTTATCCACCTAGGATTTTAAGTTGGAAATTTCAGGTCTGCTTCTTTACAGTTTTCATACAGAAATGACCAAATTTAACCAGTTAGATACATGGAGTTAAAGTATATTTTGTGGATGATTTCTTTAACTCCTTATACTTGTTATAAGCAGTTCTGTTTTTATCTGAATTTCGTAAGCCAGGCATGGTGGAACTTTATTTTTTGCTTGATTATCATGCTGATATTGTATCATTTTCATATAGTACCATAATGGAATTATATACTTTGCATTCTTTTGGACCTTTTAAACCTTTTTCATGTGTTTCCTACAACGTTCTTGAGGATCAAGAACATGGATGTGTTCAATGCCATTGGCACTGAGATCAAATGTATTTGACAAGAATGCTTGCACTCCAGTGTATGAGACAGCACTCCTGTTGAAACTATTGTTATTCTTAAAAATATCTTGGGTTGTAGATTAACTCTCCATGTTACAGAAAGCTCTATTTTTAGCTACAATGTTTTTGAGATAATTTCAATGTGATTCATCCGTTTGTATCCGAAACTGTTGTATTTTCCTGTTGACAGAGATGCTCATTTGGTGGTGATGGGAACAATAGTGTCCCACCGGCAGGGGTGGTACTGTCCAGCCTGAGTTTTGCTAAGGCTGCATCTAATTATCCACTAATAAATTTAGCATTACATGGCACTTAATTGTAACATGTTTTCGGTTCTCTGAAAAACTCTCCTCAGACGTAGGTTATTACCATTATCGCCCTATTGTTCGCAGAGTCTAGTGTAATTCCATATGTCCCGTGGGGTTTTGGTTTCTTTAGTCAATTCATTTCTATTAATATTTACTGAGGTGACATTTGGTTGCTTGCACCATGACAAATGGTGAGGGAAGAATCCCTTGTTCTGTGGTTGGGACATTGGGACATTGAGACATGCGGAGGATGGTTTTCTTTTGAGCATAAGAAACACAAGGAAACAGGCCAATTAGCCTCTGAAGTGAGTTCAGAGGCTGCCAGGGACATGTGGTTAAGTTACATAATGATGAGAAAGTCAAAAGAGGTATGATTCTATGGCCAGCAAAATGGGGTCACTGCCTTGGGGAGTTGGCCTTATCTTCAGGTGTGCTGTCACTCATGGGGGCTGTTGCAGTCTCTAGTTTCTTGGGCATCTCTTCCTGATGGTAAATAAGCCAGTGGAAAGTTAGATACTAGCCTGGACCAGAAAGGCTCAATATGGCAAAAGATTTTTCCAGCAATGCTATCCTGAAAACTGTCAGTACATTCTGCTCACTTGTCACAATTTGATCCGAAGGTTTAGACAGCCACTCGAGTGTGTAGTTACAGGCAAAGTCTATGAGACAAAGTAGAATTCAGAGCTCTGTCTTGGGTGATCGAAGCCATCACTGAGCTACAATTTGTGAGTCTTAGGGGGAAAGGAAAGTTAGAAAAAGGCATCAATATTTTCATCAAAACTGTAGTGTTAGAGATAATGCACTGGGTAATTTATTGACATTGTTTTGTTTAATTCTCACAACATTCCTCTGGTGAGGTTTTATTATCGTTATTCCCCTTTTTATAGATGAGGAAACTCAGGGCAGGAGATATATTTAATTTATTCAAGATTACATGGTCTCTGTGAGTATGGATTTAATCTTGGTACACCAATGGTTCTCAAACTTTAGCAGGTGATTCACTTGGAGGGGCTCATTAAAACAGATAGCCAGGCCTTATCCCCAATTTCTGGTTGGGGCTCAAACATCTGCTCTTCTAACTAGTGCCCTGGTAACTTTGATGCTGCTGCTCCAGAAATCAATCTTTGAAAACTCTGTTCTACACTATTCTGGTCTTCAGCTTTATGAGTGTAACTGAAATGGGGGGCTCAAGGATTGACTTCTGTGATTCTAGTACTAAATATTAGTCTAAATCCATTAAAGATATTCAGCCTATTTTTGCAGGCTGGGTCCCTAGAGAAGCCCTGCTATGGGTTTTGATCTAGCTTTCAAATTTAACTATATGTCATTTGAAATTGCTACCAAATCATTGAACATTTAATGAATGAAGGATTATTTTATGGAATATAGTTGATACCTAGATTTATTTGTTTGATATGGTCTTGAGTGAGGTCTTTGTCTTGGGAGTCCAGCCCCATATAAAACACATCATTTCCAAGGCAGTCACAAGAAATTCAAATTGGAGGTGAAAATCTTGAATTACACCCAACCTAAGGTAAGTGCATGATACAGGCAAGTGGTTAGACTCAGAACACAATATTCTGAAGTACTGAGCTAAGTATTTTGAACTTAGGAAAGGAAAGTTAGCCTCCAATACAAAGTCTCTTTCTTACCTTCTCCCCACTGTCTTTTTTTCTCTTCCACTTTCTCCTTCAAGGGAGGTCATAGCTACTAGAATTTCTCTTTCCCAAAGTCAGCCACAAAACCTAAAATATTACTCTGAACTTTTCCCACCTTTCTGTGTAGTACCCACTTTGTCTGATGTAGGTCATAAGACCCTTGTTCCAGGAGCTTTGACCTCTTCCTAAGAGAGAAGAATGTTGCACAGAAGCCCAAAATAATCTGAACAGACAGGCCTTGCTGGCTTTTCCAGTATCAGTCTGCTAGAATTAGGTCATACCCTTCTGTCCCTACTCCATAAAAACAGAGTTTTCCATGTAGCTTTGGGTCTTTTACTTATGAAATCTCTCATGTCACATGCAACTTTGATTAAATACATTTATTATGCTTTTCTTTTGTTAACATGTCATTTGTTATGGGAGTATCAGCTGTAACCCTTATGATTGGTGAGAAACTGCATCATCATCCTCACCCCTGCCAAGGAATCAATGCAGTTCTAAGATAGAAGAGTCCTTATGCAATAGAGGAGGAGAATGGACAATGATTTCTAGAGTTACTCATAACAATACATTGTTGTTTGTCATACTCCAGCTCTCCAAGAAGGAAATGACTTATCTTAGTGCCAGAGATGGCTCTGATTATGGCAGAGGGTTTGATTGAGTGAAATCTGAGTCAAATCTCAGGTTTAGGTAGGTCTCTAACTCTGGCTTTCTGCCATCAAAACTGATGTCTTCAAACACAAGTTGAGAGCTATTAATTCATGGCAAGCATCCGATTCTGGAGTCTTTTGTCTCTGTTCCCAGTCCAGGGAGAGATATACTATCAAATGTCTGACTACAGCCTGTGAGAATTTTGGAAGTCTCCAAGTTCCACATTCATGTGGCCTGTCCGTAAGCATTTGTGCTCAGGTAAAGGACAATAGATACCTGAACAAGGGTCATCAAAATTAGACTTCATCTTGGACTAACCCTCAACAATCGCTGCATGGTATCAGAAAATGACACATTTCACTCCTTGCATAAGTGCTCTGTTAAAAATTATGCTATCTTATTGGATATAGACTCTTTTACTTTCACAAGCTATCCAGGGATTTGGTCTCCTAATACGATCCTCTGTTTGTGTTATGACTTTTGGAAGCTGCTGTTAATGCTTTGATACCTACATCTGCTTACCAGTTGCCCATACCCTGCAGGTGACTAGCTCAAATTACCCTACATTAGAGGGTATGCATTTCTGAACTTCCTATTGGTACTGTGACTGATTCACCTTCCTTATCATAAATATTTCCTCTCCAACAGTTCTTTTCATGGTTCTATCAGTGCTAGACTTATTCACAGCAGTCCTTGTTCTACTTCTGATACTTTCCCTAAGTCTTCTTGTACCAGCAATGTCTTTTTGGTTGTAGGGACACATATGGATGAACAAGGGAATTCCAGGACACCCTATTGAATCCAGTGAGAACCCAGTATATCTTCTTGGATCTATGGAATGATAATGAAGAGGAGAATGGTAATGTCCAGTGAATAAAAATAAGAGCAGAATTTCCCACTTTGAATGACAAGAATCTATTAATTTTTTCTATAAGGAAAATCTGAGTGAACCTGGCTCCACCTTATGCTGGGGTTAGGGCTGAGGTTGTATCTGTCCAGCCCACTCAAGCTTTTTCGAACGTGCACATCCTGATGTGTCCTAGGTGACTGAGAAAGCTTTATCTACTACAGGCATTGGCCTACCCTCTTAGATTCATCTTGATAACTGAAGAGGCTAGGAGGAGAAAACCTCAAAATGAGCTGAGTTATTGAGTAATCTACATGCTACCAAGAAGTCCCCATGGGTAACTACAGTTTCTGTATACACAGGTATAGCTGCATCTCAAGTCTCAGGCTTAGGGTTTAGCATGAAATTCCTTTTTAATAGCCCTTTTGTATATTAAAATCAGTTGCTTAAGAGAATTCTTTAGAGTCTTACATTTATCTCCTGGCGCCAAAGTTCCAATGCTATTACCACGAAATAACATTGCTGGTAAAATAATTAATTTTCTAAGCCAAAATGAAACAGGTTGAGTGAAATCTCTTTATGAAGAAAAAAAGATCTCTAATATTAAGGATGATACTTCCCAGATATTTCCTAGAAACTTCTACCATGTATCAGCAAACTACAAGACTTGGAAACAAATGATGGAAATTCCAGTCTCCAGGTGAAATACAGTGAAATTTATCCTAACAATATAACCTGACTTCTTCACTCACTGTTGTGTAGAATCTCTTCCTGTTAGGATCTCAGAGATCTACTATTGCCAAATATAATGTTAGCTTTTGTCCTACTTGACACTAGCATTTAATATGTTCATTTGGTTGTTTATTAGACTTCCTCTCCACCCCCTCCCATATTAGGCTCTGGGAATACAGTGATGAATAAAATAGTTCCTGCCCTCATAGATCTTACATATTCCATTGGATGGCTGAGAAATTAAATAAAAAATATACAATTAATTATCAAATAGTTAATTATGGTAGGAGTCACAAGAGGAATATGATTGCATCTCAGAGAATTAGGGGTATTTGACTTTAGAGATGAAGGATGCTATCTTCTTCAACCTAGAAGACTAGGTTTAGGCATTCTCAAGGCCTTAGGAATTTTTTTATTGGTACATATTTTTATTGGTACATATTGGTACATAATGATCATAACCAACATAGGGAAATTGTACTGCACATAATATGACTTAATCATTTTTTTCATTCTCCTCTCCTCTCATCAACTCTTCCTGCCCTCTCCATTTACAAAAACTTTGTTTCAATTTTCCCTCTTCCATTTTCTTTTTTAAAAAATTCCTTTCCCCTTCCTTCCTTTCTCCCTCTTCTCTCTCTTGTTCTCCTTCCTATTTGAACATGCTCTTTGTACTTCTCAATATCTATCCTCAATCTTGTTCCTTATTTACTCTCTAGGATTCTCACACAACAGAAACAATGCAATCTTTAAACTAGTGTGTTCAATTTATTTCACTTAAAATTATGGTCTTATGGTGCATCCATTTACCTAAAAATGTCTCAATTTTATCCTTCTTTATGGCAGAGTAGTACTCAGTTGTATAAAAAATATGCCACATCTTCTTTATCCATTCATCTGTTCATGAGCCTATGAGTTGTTTCCAAGATTTGGTTCTTATAAACTGTGCTACTATAAACATGGATATACTGTGGTACATAACTGTGGTAAACATGGGTGTATCACTATGGTATGATACTTTTAACTCTTTGGAGGATAGTTGGGTCAAATGGAACCTCTAGTTTTAGTTTTTTGAGGAAATTACATAGTGATTTCCACAGTTATTGTACCAATTTACATTCCCATTAGCAATGGAGAAGGGTTCCTTTCTCCCCTACAGTCCTGCCAACGTTTGTTATTGGTTGATTTCTTGAAGACAGCCATTCTTTCTGGAATGAGATGGAATCTCAGTGTTGTTTTAATTTACATTTCTCAAATGACCAGTGATGTTGAACAATTTTTTCATGTATTTATTTGCTGTTTGTAGGTCTTTGTGTGAGAAGTCTCTATTCATTTCAGATGCCCATTTTTTGATTGGGTCTTTAAATTTGGGGGGGTCTGATTTTTTGAGATATTTATATAGTCTAGATATTAGTCCTTTGTCTAAGAAGTAGCTGATATAAATTTTTTTTGCATTTTGTGTGTTGTCTCTTCACTATGTTGATAGTTTCTTTGCTGTGATTCTGGTTGTTGATTCTTTTTAATATTTCCTGTGTGACTGGGGTTTTATTCATAAAGTCTCTGCTTATAGCTGTGTCTTCAAAATTTCTATATATTCTACCTTTCAGCAGATTGTTTCTGTTTTAATATTTAAATCTTTGATTAATTTCAGTTGTAGTTTAGTGTATGGTAAGAGATCTGGGTCTAGGTTTAATCTTCACCATGTGAAAAGCCAGTTTTCTCAGTACCATTTATTAAAGAGGCTATCTTTCTTCCAGTGAAGGTGTTTGACCCTTTTGTTGAAGATAAGGTAGCTGAATGTGCTTGGAGTTGTTTCTGTATCTTCTGTTCCACTCATCCTCAGGTCTGGTTTTTTGCCAGTACCATACTGTTTTTGTCACTGTAGTTTTGCAGTATAACTTCAATTCAGGGATTATGATACCCTTTGTTTTTCCCTTATTGCCCAGAATTGCTTCTGGTATTCTAAGGCCCTTAAAACTTTTGCCTGATTTTTTCTGGGCCATCTTACCTTCTTTTATGGACTGAAGTACCATCTACAGAGCTCTAGCTCTGGCTTTTCCTATGAAATCAAAACTTGAAATTTTCTAACAAAAAGGACACCCTTTATGTGTCTTACTGACCAACCGAAACATGCTTAGTTTTAATTCCTATGGATAAACTTAAAATTTGGTAACTGAAAGAAATGACAGTATTTCTTCTGCTCAAAATCAGTAGTTTGTATAGGATTCAGCAGAGTTAATCTGTCTCTGGTTATCTATCTGTTTATCTATCTATCTATCTACCTATCTATCATTGGTGCATCCATTGTTGGAAAATAAAATTTGCAATGCAGTTTTTTGTAAGTGACCTAAAGATGGTGTTCATTTACAATAGGATGGCCAATCAATCATTAATGTTTCTCCATACATTTTGAAATTTGGAGCATGTATACAGAGCTGGAAAAAATTATATGTAGCACCTCTCTTAAGGAAGTATTCAATTTAAATGGCCAGTGGGTAAAATGAAAGGATAAAACACAATCATACATTTCCTACCACAAAACAGAGAAGCAGGAGGAAAACAAGAGCTCACATAGTGTAGTGATTCATCATTTATAGAGCATATTTACAGACATATCAAGTTACAACCTCTTAAAAAATCTAAAAGACAGGTATATAAACATGCAAAATATATACTTAATATTTTAGGGCTTTAGGAGATTTTAGGTATCTTGGGGAGTTGGGAGTTCACCTGGAAGGTTTTATAAGAGAAAATTCTTTAACAAGATCCCACAGGAACCATAAATTATTTGAAGAAGAAGCCTTTAAAAAATCTTTTGAGGAGAAGAATTAATGTAAGTAAAAATTCAGAGTAGGGGCAAATGGGTTGGTTTCAGGCAGAAGGGTGGAGAAGAAAAGTATGGGCTGTTAAAGTTAGAAAAACTAGCCCAGGGTGATGATGCACACCTGTAATCCCAGCATTTGGGAGGCTGAGGTAGGAAGATTTCTGTGAGTTTGAGGCCAATCTGGGCTACATAGTAAGTTGAAGGCCAGCCTTGAACTGCATAACATGACTCAGTCTCAAAAACAAACAAACAAACAAACAAACAAACAAACACATGTAGAAAAAGTGAGTCCAATGATTGAAAAAGGAAGACAGTTAACTTATAGCCATAATTCCTCGTAAGGAATTTCAATGAATGCTGAAGGCACTTATACACCATTACAGGGTTATCTAAAAGGCCATGGTATGATCAGAGTAGTAGCTGAGGAAGGGAGGATTTCTACTGCTGGGTATACTATAGATTAGAAACAAGGCTTGAGGCCCTTCATCCCAAATAAAAGGTGAGAGAATTCAGAGTCCTCACTAAGACTGTGTACATGGAGAAGATCATTAGAACTGAGAAATTTTAGGGAGACTACAACAAAGCAGATGATGACCAGAATGTCCTGTGCTATTTTGTGATGACCAGAATGTCCTGTGCTATTTTGCACACTGAATATTTAGAACCCAAGATTCCTTCCCTTATGTGCTATAGTAGAAAGAGGCTATTACAGATTGTCATTGTATGCATTCATTATTTCATTATCCAGTCAGGCTTGCTCCTTAAGGGCACTGATCTTAATGCAGCTCCACACTTAGCACGTTAAGCAGTCAATAAATGTCTCTACTTAGAAGGAGACTTGGAGACAGGAGTTGAGGCAAATCATCAGTTTTGAAGGTGATTCTCACTGAACGCTGATAGATGGGTTGGAAGTAGTAGGAAAAGGAAGAAAGCCAATGAAGGGACCTCACATAGGTATCTCTGTGGACAGCTGGATTTCAGGCTTGTTGGGGAATTCTGGGAAATATCCATAACTACCTAAAATGAGGGATAAAAAAAGGAGGGGTTCATCTACTTCCCTCTATTCATTTTTGCGTGAAAGCTCTTTCCTGCACTTCCAGCCTGTCCTGCTCTGGTAGCCAGAACAGAGCCCTGAGGCAGAGCTGGTAAACAGGCTTCTAGGGGTTTAGATGTGGACATCACCTAGGGGTACTGGCAGACATGAACTGTGTCTGCAACAATGAACACTAGGAGAATAAAAGAGGCAGCAAAGGCATACACAGCACATGCATAGAGCTAGCACTCGCCTACTGCTTCCTGATTCTGGCTTTTGTTGTTCAAGCCCATCCTTCCACCTCTCAAGGTGCCTTCGTGTTACTTCTCTGTCCTTGAGCATGTTTACAACATCTCCCAATTTAGTCTCATTTGCAAATTTAATTACCAAGCTATTTACCCCTCTTCCAGATCATTAATGAAGATATTAAATAAGACCAGATCAAACATCAATCCCTGAAGCTCCCTTCTTCTCCCTCCTCCCTTGTATTTTCTTACAGCTCAGTGACCATTTACTGTTGCTTTGGCCTGTAGGGTCTTCAAGCCATTTCTTGGTCCTTGTCACAAGTCATACCCAAGATAATCTGAAAGAGCATATCAAAGTACATTTCATGAGACAGTGTTAAATGTGCCATTCGAATCACACAGCGTTAGCTGCATTTCCTTTTGCCCAACTAGTTTTTCAGCTCTCTCAGCAAATGGTTTCCCCAGGCAAACATTCAAATGAATTTTAATAAATCCTACTATTGGTAGAGCTTTATTATGGGAGGAAAACCCCAACTAGTTCTTCAAATGTCATTTAGTTTGTAACCACAATATTTCTCTGTGAGGGGCCTAAAATATGCATAGTTATATTTTCCTCACAGAATTAAATGAGTCATCCAATACTCCTGAACAGGACATTTGAGCTCATGTGTAAGGACTGACATTGTCACTGCCTCCATTTTTTTTCTGCCACATCATGAAAGCTTTTCAAGCCAATCTGACGAAGGAGCTCAGCGCTGCCTTCTCCTACACTAATAGCCCTGCCTTGACTTTAGATACAGAATTCATTGCCCAAGTCCAACTAATTTTAATTCATCAAAGCTTTCTTTTACTCTCAATAATAAATGGGATAAGAAATTATGAAAATGTTATTTGGTTAAAGCACTCTACTACCTAACATTTATAGAAAGCTAGAGTCTGAGAACTAGAATGGACTTGAAAAATCACTAGCAAAGGGATCTTAACCTGGGGTCCACGGCCATCTCGACATGCGGACATGCATCTCCGTGCACCTGTGCCTGTGTTTCCCTGGCTCCGCCAGCATCCTCAAGGACATGGCAAGCCCACCCCTGCCCTCCATAGGCATAAGGAACCACTCAGATGCAGCAGCGTTCCATGCTAATGCAACCCACTAAGTGTTCCCAACTGTGGTCTCCTCCACACACATCACATCTATTTCTCCACACAGATGTGAACGCAGGCAGCAAAACCATGGTGAGACTGGGAGGCTTCCAAAGTTAGGCTTTGGAAAACTGGCTTTTGCGTGCTCTTTCCTGGCTCTTTTATGCGCTGTTTTCTAGCTGTTTTGTGCCTTTTTGTGCATCTTACTCCGCTTTTCATGTCCCAGGGTATTCTAGTTTCTCTTGAGTATGTGGGTTATTGCTTCCAACATAGCCTCTTCCTTTTATGAACAGGGAAGATTCTTAGAAAACTGTCTCAGGAATACTGAATTTAAAAAAGCATTCTGGGGCAACCAGAAAGCTATGAAATCATCTCTTTTCTATATAAGTTAATTCTTCTAATACTTGATGGCAGCTTAGATGTCCTTCCAAGAGATCTTTGGCCTGAACACCTTTAGTTCTGGAAATGAGCACGAGCAGGCCACGGATGCACTCACCTGGCCGGGCTTTCCTGGACACTTTCAGCCTCAGCCTTCTCTGTAACGAGCCAGCCACTCGGAACTCGGAAAGCAGGTGCTCTAACCTGTTAATGTGCAGTTGATTTCTAAAGCTTTTTAAAAAATCAATCAAGCAATCAGCAAGAGTGTATATCCCTTAACTGCTTCATATAAATACTTAAATATAAAGTAAGAAGGTAAAACAAGATCTGGAGAGGCTCGGGGATGTATCAGTGTGCACACTTTTGAGGGGTGGGAAAGCCATTTTATTAAATCTCAATTCTTGGGCCCTCATGAGGAAAGGAAAGAGTGGTCTTGGAAAATGAACAGACACATTAAGACCAGTGGTTCTCAAGTATGGGAGATACCGCTGGCATTTTAGCATAAATAAGGTTAAAATCTGCTAGAAGGCATTTGTTTTGTGGTGCTTCAGATCAAACATAGGGCCTTGTGTGTGCTAGGCAAGCTTTCTACTACCAAGCTCCATCCCAAGCTTTTTTTATTTTATTTGAAGTCAGGGCCTGGCCAAGTTAGCCAGGTTGACCTCAAACTTAAAACTTCCTGCTTCAGTTTCTAGAGTTTAGCTGGAATTACAGGCATGTACCACCATGCCTGGCTCAAGAATGTTCTTAAGAAAGCAATGAATACTAATTTTGTTAAATCTCAGCTCTGAGTATATCTTTTAAACATTTCATTTGATTCATTGGGAAGGCAGATAAAGCTCCTCGAGCACTTACTAAAATAAGGTGGTCATTTTGAGGAAAAGTACTCCTGAGATTGTTTAAACTGTGAGCTGATCTAGTCATTTTTTTAAGGAACATCATTTTTGCTTGAAAGAACAATTGGCAGAAAAATTCGAGTTATTCACATTTGTGTATTTGGCAGACACTTTCTCAAATATGAAAAAAGTGAAACTGTCACTTCAAGGGAAGCAACTGACAGTATTTGTTGCCTACGAGAAAAATTTGAGCTTTCAAGTAAAATTAGAATTTTGGAAAACTTTTATCTACCACCATAAACTTGACAGCTTCACAATACTTAGACTTTTATGATGAGATTGGTGGTAATATTAACAATTACTATTTTTTGATATTGTGTAATTAAATGTGTCAACACTTGGAAGATCTGCATAACTCAGGAAATCAGTGTTTTCCAAATTACCAATAAATGATCACATAAAATCATCCATGAGTAATTGATCCATTTAATATGCAATTGATTTTAAAGTAACAAATTACAAACACTTTGCTGACATGGTTTCACATTCCATATTGCAACTGACTTTTAAAAAACTACCCTGGATGTATGTCGTGTGGTGTCAAAGAAGAAATTATCTGAAAAGACTATTAAAATACTTTTTCATTTCTAGTTATAGATCTGTGTGAGGCCAGATAGTCTTAATTTATCCCTATCAGTACAACATATTGCAACAAATCAAATGCAGAGCAGACATGATTATCCAACTGTGTTCTATTAAACTGATACTAAGAGAGATGCAAAAATGTAAAGTGATGTCACTCTTCCCTGTTTGTTTTGCAGGATAGCTAATTTTCATAAGAAAATGCCATTTATATTGATATGTACTGGAATTATGATTGTTATGTGAAGATGAAGTAATAGATATCTTCAAAATTTAATTTCTAAGTTACAATACATAATAATGGGTGTTCCTCATATACACTAAAGCTTACTGACATTCTGAATAGATTTTTAAATGTGTCAGGAGGTCCTGAGAATAAAAAGTTTTAGAACCATTGAATTGCAGCAAGGGTGGAAGATGAATGTATCACTGAACAGGAGAAGGAAGTAAATAAATTGCAAATGATGCATTAGGTAGGGTCAAAGTGAGGCCAGAAGTGTGCATAATAGAGGGGCTGGAATCTGAGAAGGGTATAACCAGTGGGCTTAGAGTGACAATTGGTCTGCAAGGAACACCAAGGGAAGACTAAAGAATTCAAGACAAATTCCTGAAAAGAGATCAAATGACTGAAAAGCAGAATCCATGATAAGAGTTGGAGGAACTTGTAGTATGGGCTTCCAAAATGAGAAAATATTAAAACTTTATTATATTTCTTATGCTCTTTTGGGTTAATGATTGATTGGATTTAAAAAAGGAGCATGGAGATTTGAGTAACGGATAGAATAAAATGATTTCAGTGAAGACTACTGTGGGACTACTAAGATATTTATTTAACAATAATGATAATGCTTTCATTTATTGGGCTTAATCTGTATGCAAGGTAATGTACTAGATACCTTGTTATTTTATTTTACAAAAATAAATTTACTTGGATAAAGGAAATATAGCATACTTTTGCAATGGAAAACTACTCATCCATTAAAGAAAAGAATGGAATCCTGTCATTTTTGACAGTATAGATGGAACTGGAAATCTTTAAGAGAAATAAACCAGGCACAAAAAAACAAGTACAGCATGATCTTACTCATATGTGGAACCTAAAAAAGTTGTTATCTTACAAGTTGATTTGAACTTTCTCATGCATTTCTTTGGATTAACACTTCTTTTAGCCTCATCTTTGTGAAAGTAGTGTGACATAATTCATCCTGATGAAGATATTCACATTTTTGACCTTTCAGCCAAATATTGAGAATCAATTTGGCACCAGCGGCTTGGGGATTGGGCTGGACAGGACATACCTGGGAATCCCTAAAATCTTCTATACTCTGCAGAAAATGTCTACCTGAATTGCTGCCACACTTTTTATGATATACTCAGTACTTCATTTATCCTACTTAATTTTTACATGGTGTTATATCAATTTCTTAGCCTCAGAAACCAATCCACAAATAAATGAACTAACTTTCTCAAAGTTCAAGGAGAACCAGACACAGAAATGAAATTTGAACCTAGAAATGTCTGACTTCATATCCTATGTTTTGTGCTTTCTTTATGAAAGCTTTAAATATAGAATAAAATGTTACCTTCCAGTATTTTTAGGCAATGCTAGGCTAATTTTGGTTCTTGGAAATTTAGGCTATGAATGTGATACTACACCTAAGAACATAAGAACATAAGAAGTCTTCCCTTAATGATGGTGGATAAAAATAAATTAAACAGCATTACCTGCAAATTCTTCCCTTAGATCTCCAATTGTTTTTAAATATTCTGTTGATACCAGAAAGCTGTCAAAAAGCCATGGATGTGGCACTTGGAGGTCTTAACTTCAATTGCCTGATGCTTAAAAAAAGGAAATTACAATACAATTCAAATTCTTTTTCTGATTTCAACCTTCTATAAGGAATTTATTTTTATGGTCCAAGATATAAAGTACATTACCTTCTAATCAATATCTCTACTCAGCTCCTCGTATAGACTCCAGTTGAAATTAGGTCCACATGCTTCAATGGAAGAACCAACTTCTTAATTTGTATTTGATGTTAGTGGTTATGGCAATGGAGATTGTAAAATTCATTTACTTTAAATGTTATCATAGATTATAAGTAATAAGCAGAAAATCCTCACTTACAAAAGCATGTATACATATGGTAAAGAATTTGTACCAAGGGTTTTTTTTTTGAATGAAGAGAGAGAGAAACCTCAAACTTCACATATCCAAACTTCTCTAAGACACACATGGAATCTTTTAAATTACATTTGTATCAAATTAACTTGGGTGGTCTGAGCGTCATCAAGCATGCAGAAAGCGTTCTCTTTAAAAGCTAATTTAAGAAAGTTGTTAGGGCATTGACAATAGAAGCAACCTGTTCCCTTGTTGTCAATGTGTTTTCTTTTAAGGAAACTTGCTCTTTCCTGCCCATGCTGAAAATATCTACAGCTCTCCAAGAGCTCAGCTTTAACATCTTCCTGGGTGGCTTCAAATGGCTGCCATTTTGACCATGTGCAGTGTGACGACTTTTCTGTGCCTTTCAAATTATATAACGATTGAAATAATGTTGCACAGTCTCATATGTGTGCAGTTAGGTCACGGAGTGCTCAAAATTCACCAACTTTTTGTAGTCAAATAGTATTTTGGCAATTCAATTGTTCCTTAGAAAATGAATAACTCCAGAAAATTTTGTTTATCACTGTGCTCCCTAAACTACCAAAAGGGATCGTACTGTACAAGAAGCTGTAACAGCAGAGGTAAATGGGGAGTGCTGCCCTGTTAGAGGAAGTGCAGGGAAAACAGGGCCGAGGGGAACATTGTTGATGAAATGCATATTTGCCTAGAATGCTCGGAACTCAGCAGGGGAGCCACCTATATTGCATCCAGAAAGCATTATGATGCTGATCTCAGCTACAATTTACACAAGGGCTTATTAAAATAAAACAAAACAAAACTTTCAGTGTACAGCCTGCATCTTCTCAGGACAAACTTCAAAGGCTTTGGGAACTGGGTTGGTCCAGTCGATTAAAGGATGGATGATTGCTTTCATCTAGTTTATTTCTAAATTGTCCACCCAGGTAAAATGTTGGACTTTGTACAATTTTATTATTCAATGAATACACATTGAATGCTTACCATAGCAAGTATTTAGTTGTGGATATTATGCTGGGTGCTATAAATCTCATCAGTTTGAGTTTCTCAGCCCTTGTTGACTATTAGTAATGACCTATATATAATAAGATCAAAGATCTTCAATAAGGAAAAAAATTAATATCCTATATTCATTTATAATTGGTGCTAGGCATTGCTAAATTCTTTACTTCTACCAAACTCATTTAATATCACAATCCTATGAGATGTAATAGCCCGCTTCTCATCCCCACTTTACAGATGAAAAAACCAAGGCAAAGAGATTAGCTGACTTTCCCCTATAACTTTGTAGGTAGGTGGTAGGACCGGGGTAATACCTACACAGTTGATGTTGTGCCCATGTTCAAAGGTGAAACGCCTCCACTAGTTGGGGTTCAAGGTTAATGAATAGAACCTCTGCGGTATTCTAATTCATTGCCCACTTCTGAGAATGAGTGGTCACCCTGATGTTGCTTCTCTGTAGAGCCCCTTGAGAAATTTGTTGAGGTGGGGATGGGCTCTTCATATGCTCTTTCTTTTAGGGAGAGCATATCAGAGGTGGACTCTGTTCCCCTTCTGAGGTTGTCTGCTGGGGCAAGCATGAGAATATTCATGTGTGACGAGTGGTCCCTTTTGGCTGATGCAGGTGACGGACAGCCCGCACTGGAGAAACGACAGCGAAATTGACAAATTTCCAAAGCTGGGAACTTACAAGTACTTTCCACTGGGTTTTCTTAAGGGCATCCTGTAGGGTACAGAGCATTTACTTTGTGGGTCCAAGAATGCTATTCCTTTTCCTCATTTGTTTAACCCTCTAGATCCAGTTATTTTCATGAGCAAAATAAAACTCCCTTTGCCTGTCTCTACAGAGTGTTATGACAGTAGTCGGAAAACTCCAACGTGCTATACAAATATAAGACATTAGTATTCATTGTTGTTGTTCCTGCTTATCACAAGTGCTGTCAACTTCACATATGCACTGCTAATAGCCTGCTTTCAAGTTGTGTTGACATTTAGGTGATTCTTAATGGACTTTGGTGTGTTTCATTTGGGGGCTTGTGCTGCTGTGCCTGTGCAGCTCTGGGAGTAACAAGGGACAAGACGGGACCTGAGAAGTGTTGGTGGTTGCTGAGTTCAGTCAGAGGGTAGGTAGATGCTTAAGTTAGCAATCAAGATAAGGGCTGTGGTCAAGGCAGGGCTTGGGTCAGTTTAATGAGGCGTCTGTACCAGCGTGTTGGTGATGATTGGTTTAGCCCCAGCACCAGAGTTTGAGTTTCAGGGAAGCAGTGTGCTGCCATGGAATGGTCTCCTCTAGCAATGTTTGCTGTGGGAAATGAGTCAGTTGTGCAAACAAAATGAAGACATCTCCAGAGGCAGTAGGTTGTAGCTGGAGCAAACTATTGGGAGATGGGGAGGGAGAGGAGGAGGAGGAGGAAGAAGAAGAAAAAGAAGGAGAAGGAGGAGGACAAAATTTTCAAAAAGTTTCTCATGTAGTAAACTTTACAAAGTTTGCCCGGTCTTTGTTATTTATGCAATGAATTCATTTTTTGTATGTTGTTTATATTCATTTAGTTGTGTTTCCTTTAAATAGATCTTTGCTTCCTTTTGATAAATCTGAAGCTGAGACAACGTGATCCTGTTGATCAATCATATTGGACAGGAGGCTTTGTAGTTTCAGTAAAATAATCAGCCATGTAAGTCAATAACTGGCGGGGGCCTCCCTTGTTCTTTTGTGATGTAAACTAAGTCCATTGAACCTAAGAAGCAGTGGCTATCTCTCTAGATTACTGGGACCCTAGTACAGCTCTGTGTATAAAGAAGAGCTAAGCAACTGGTTTTAATGATGAAAATACTTTTGTGGTGATTTAACACTTCAGGACAAAGATTGGTATTGCTTTGTATTTGTGCGTGACCTATCTTATATATATATATATATTTTAATGGCAAATATCTCCGGTTCCTACCTGTTGGGAGACCAATCTGCTTTGGTGTCCAAAATGTATGTTTCTACTTATTTCTTTCCGTTTGCTTACCTGAAACATTGAGTAAAATTAGTATAGTTCAGACATGACAACAGAACTTTATGATGACAAATTATATGATTTGGCTTTTGTTTTTTTTCTCTTAGTAGTAGCATGTTTGTTAAGAGGTCTTAAATTAACATACATAGTTTATCCACTCAGTCCTTCAGTAAAGTGCATGAAAGACTGATCAGTTAAGTTACAGCTGGACAGGAGCAAGAAACTCTGGTGTGCTATTGCACAGCAGGGAGACTACAGATAACAATAATGCACTGTTCATTTCAGAAAGCCAGAATAAAAGATTTTACGTTTTTACTATAAAAACGATAAATGTTTGAGGAAATAGATATTTAGCCTGATTTAAATATTGCATAGTGTACACAGGTACCAAAAAGATCACATTATATCATTAATATGTACATTTTTAGTTTTATGTATCAGTTAAAAAGAAACTTAATTTTTAAAAAAGAGTGCTAATTCCACAGCATACCTGTGTTAAAGTCTTCCATAGGAAAGGAAAAGATTTATAATAAGTCTCAGTCCCATCTATCCAAGTTTGAATCAATAGAATGATGGCATTGAGGTTCAGAGTTTTAAAAGCTAAACAATAAAAAATTGGGCGAACATTTGTGCACTCCTAACCATTTTTAGTATTTGTAACTTAAGGAGAGAATATATTTCATAAACAGTAGTGTAACAATTGATTTGTTTTATAATGGTCATTTCCTCCTTGTTATTTTTATAATTTTTTCAAGACTTGAGAGACATTCTTAATAACAGAAAATTTCTTCACATGTTGAAACCTTTTGGAATTCCCTTCTTTTGAACACTTTCACTCAGATGAATTATTAAAATGTTCAATGAAAGAAAGGGATAGAGAAATTATAGCCTAGAGAATTATAGAGTTAGGGGAAGGAGAGAGATGCCATTCAGGAATTCAATAGTTTAAACTCCAGTCAATTAAATTAATATTAAAGTGGAATGAAGTGAAAACCAGATTGCTCACACTACTTTTATCTGGTCAAATTCCTCCAAGAATTCCCGTTCCCATGAATATTTAGCTTTCCTAGACTTGGGAATGAATCTGATTTTTACCTTGAAGAAACACATACCATATATGTCCCCAAAAATACAAATGCAAATTCAATGAACTCCCTAATATTGAACCCATCTGTATTGAATCTCTGTGTATAGCAATCAAATTGAAAATCCAGGTCTATTACATGCACATGTAATATTTCCAGAGTATATCAAATTCCATCCTATATCAAATTTTTTTCCTTGGGTTCCTAGAAATTTAATATAAGCAAGTTTCACTCTATTTGAAAAGGACATGATGCAATATAATGTGTTTTTCAATGAATAGAATTCTTGGCAATTCAATTTATGTTCAGAATTTCTTAAAGGCAACTTACTTCCTAGAGGCCTCCTGCTGGAGTTCAGTTCCAGGAACCTAACTCAGGTAATATTCCTTTTAGTTCAAAAGACTGTAAAGAGAAATCAGAAAAATTTTGGTCATGATTTTTTTTTTATTTTAAAAATAAAAGGAGGGAAACATTAACAGACAGACAATCTTTTACAAAATAGCAAAAGAACAGTACAGACAATACAGAGTTACAAAGTGGTAGGAAATTACCAATGTTTGTTGTATTACATAGTGATATTTTCAAAGTGGTTTCTCATGAAAACAGATAGAGACATGCAATATTGATCAATCAAGGACTCACTGACAGTTTCTTTCAGCAAAGAAATAGAAGACAGTAGAATAACCATGTTAACTATCCCGTATATACCAGCATACAACATTTCTCCTTCTTTCCCTTCTCTTTTCCCACATCCTAGTTGCCCTTTACCCTTGAATGATTTCCTATCATTTCACAATGTCTATCGTACCTCCTAGTTTAAATTAACTCTTTCAGGTTTTAC